TTATTTTTTATTTCAATTTAATTACAATCAAATAATGTACAACTATTTCATCAAACCATATATTATCTATAGATATTGAACATTTAAATGAATCTTTTTTCGATTAAACATTATGTTCAAATAACATAGAATTATAATGTTTATCATAGATATAAAGAACAATGTTGACCAACCTTATTAATAATAACATCTCAACAATAATCAACAAATGAAAATACTTTATCAGTTATTATTCATATATAGATTGTAAATGAAACAAAGAAACAAACAACGATGATTAACTAATAAGAAACTGAACAAAAAAATATATTGTTAACGTGATCAAAATTGAAAAATTATTATTTAAAACTGGTAAACAAGCAAATAAACGATCGATTGATAATTAGTCTTTGACAATCTTTGAATAAAACAAGTAATTTATCAATCGAAATAATTGAGATAAATATATCATAGTTTTATATTCTTTCTATAGTTAATATTAAGAAAAATGCTTATAAATAATTTATCAATTTTTGTCAATGATTTTTAATAATAAGATATAGAAAAGTTATTTTAAGCCGAGTAGATAGATCGGAAAGAAAATAGATAGAAATCAGTTCATAAAAACATATTGAATGATTTTATCTGATACTCATTATAACAATAATATTTTTGCTTTATGCATCAAATTATTTAAGAACAATGAGATTTTATTGTACGATCAATCATTAGCCAAGTAATTTAAAACAGACAATAATCATTGGTAGACTGTTTAGTATAATATGTGCTATATCAGTGGTAATCGTCGGTATACCGACAATTATTATTCGAATGGTAATTTACTGCTTGTACGCCATCGTTGTTTATGGGCACTATGGTATACCAGCGATAGTGCAAACAAACATGCAACATTTCGAACATACAAAAATTTTTTATTGGACAATTTCATCACATACGTGACACACTTACATCCAGTTTCTAAAAATTGATTTTAACGTTTCAAATAATATAGAGTATAGGTGTTCTATTTACTATAATGACGAAAGATTCACTATAAATATTTATATTGAAGAGATCAGAGATTCACAAAATTGTAGCAAAATATAGTTAATAATAACCTAAAGACGCTGCAAAAAAGGCTTCGATGTTCACCATAATATATCTCTATCTCAAAATTTTGGTATATAATAACATAGCTGAGTATTTGTAAAAAAAAAGTTCACTGTAGACGTTCATATATAAAACTTGTTGCGGAAGTACATAACAGGATGTCATTTTAGTACAAATTCTGCGTTGGAGATATATGGTGATGCACATTCAAGCCTTTGTTGCTATGTGTTTTTATATAGTATAAATTATATCTTGCTACATTTTGTGGTTCTCTGATCTCTTCAATATAAGGATTTATAGTGAATATTTTGTCATCATTGTAAGTAGAATGCCTATGCTTTATATTATTTTAAACGTGAGAATCGAAATTTTAGAAACTAATAGATATAAGTGTGTCAAATATGCGGTGAAATCATTCTATTGTATTTGTATGAAAGATTTTATAGTTTTATGTCTGAAATCTTCGAAAATAGATTTTTATATATAGGGAGAAAGGTTTATAAATAATATATATTTGTTATTCATTTAACTTTATTTGAACTATTGTCCTGATTAGAATCGATTTTTTTTATTAGATTGACTTCTATTATTTTTGTTTTTATTAAGAAGATGTATGTTGTCGAGCTATTAATCGTACAAAACCTATGCTGAACATAATTATTAATTAGTTTGACTTATCGTCGAAAGATTATTTATAACTCTTATATTAACAATTCATTGATAATATATGAATTAGTGTTCTGCAATCGGGTCGAGTGTTGAATATGACCCCATACCTCAATCTAAACCGTCAATTAATGAGATATCAACGTTTCAAAATATTTTTTATTTTTTCAAACTATTAATCTATATGACAAAGCATAGTATTTTATTTTTTTCATAAAGAACNCCCCCCCCCCCTTTCCGGCGTTTCTAAGAAACGGTCGATCGAAAATTCCTGAAACTTTCAGGGTAGGTAGGTCTCGAGTAGTAGAGCAAAATTTTTAGGATCCAAGAAACCTAGAGATTTTGGGAAGTCTTCAGTATTTTGCTTCTTTAGCCTGAAGTATTTGGAATTTTGGAAAAAAAAAAAACGGCCACCCCGATTGGGTCCGTCTACCCACAGTAAAAATTTCAGCTCAAACGGATGAAATCTGTGGATTTGCGGGGGAGGGGGAACTTTTGCAAGTTTTTGACCTTGGGGTCTCTGGAAGCCCATGAAGATGAGGTCTGGCAAATTTGTGCCCATGATAACTTTTGCTCGCCCACCCGACACCTACCCACCCTGAAAGTTTCAGGAATTTTCGATCGACCGTTTCTTAGAAACGCCTGAAAGGGGGGGGGGGTCCCCTTAATGAATTAATGAAATACTTCAAGTTTAGAAATAAAATAAAATGTCGATTTACAAATGATATTTAATTAAGTATTAATTCAAGTTCTTATAATTACACTAATTATTTAATTGTTGTTAATTTTTACAGATGAAAATAAGATATAAAATTTTTTTCAAAACAATTCTAATTATTTTATCGAATTGTTGATTTCTAGTGGTTAATAGACGTATTTACTGTTAAATATTCATCTGATAGAGCGAATTTATTTTTATCAAAATTAAAAAGAATCTATAAGTTTAGAAAGAAAAAAAATGCTTCACTTACGTTGTATCTAACATATACTGAAAAAATAAATAAGATTTCTCAGTTCAAAGGAAAAGTATAATCAATTAAAATGAAGAATCACTCGAATAAATTAACACTTATAAATAAATATATGTTAACTTACTTAAACAGTACGAATATTAGATTGTCTTGACTCTTTATATAACATATCAATCAAGCATCATCAATAATTGTAAATAATATATGTAATCAATAATATAATAATAACTCTTACTATTGCTTCAATTATAATACCAGCAAAAAGATCCTACTGATATCATTGAACTGATCAATGTATTAATGACAGATATAATTATAACTGAACAATTCAGTGAATGAACTAGAGCATATCCATAATTCTGTTTAAGATACGTGAGACGTGGAGGAATGGATAATCTGGAGTGGTTAATGAGGACTGGTTCTCAGCTTCCACATTCATTAGTAGCTATGCTACTTAAATGAATATATTTTGTTACTCAGACAGCATAGAGAACAGAATATGTCGTACGTATACTACTCACATCTACAGTCCTATAGAAGAGAACACATAGTATTGAGGGATAGAGAAAACAATATATTATATCAAACACTTGCAACAAGAAAGAGTATATGTCATCATCGGAAATCTATATGATCAAAGCATCCATTTTTAAAAATTTCTTATGTTAAATCGCTTCTCTTTTTGTTTTTATCTTTTCTCTTTCTCTCTCTTTTGTGATTATGTGTATGCTACTGTAGTACAAGGTACAGGTATAGTTTTGAAAATAAGAGGAAAAGTTGTGTTCTTATATATTTGACCCTTTCGTTTTACACTATCAAAAGAAGAACATAAGACAACAGTATTTGGCAGAGAGATATAAAACACATTAAAGGAATATAGTAGTTAAAGGATGTTGTTTTAAGAAGAAAATTCTGAATGGTCAAACAAAAGCTTTGTTAAGAATGAAAATCATGAATGATTGATATATGATAAACACAATGTAACGATAGAGTTATGCTACAATGAGTAGTGATTGTTTTAAATTAGTCTGTTTACTACATACCTTGTTTTTTTCTTTTCATTCACGTTGATATTTTTCATGCATTTTGTTATTAGTAATTTTTCTATCGTATATAACACACACGGTTGGCTTGCTTTTCAATTTCACTTGCACCATGTGTCTCAACCTTTCCTACTAAAAGTACACTTCTTTCTCTACTACATATTTTTAAATGCTGTTCATTTGATAATTCTCTCAAAGATAATCGTAATTTAGGATGTGATAGTTCATTTCATTATACTTTCTGTTGTTCTTCATCATATTATTCTATAATTGCTTTCTCAACAAACGATTAACATACTAATCTCATATAGATCTCGTAACGATATCATTAGTTTTGCTATATTTCGATTACTTTTTGTTTTATTTTGTTTTATTTTAAATAAAACAAATCACAATAACCTTAGTTAACGTTATTCGAACATATCACGACAAAAAGATACGGTAGGATATTTTTTCATATAAACTCTCTATACTTGTATCTACTATAAGATCTCTAATTTCATTATCATTAAGTCTAAATCATTTAGGAAGGTTGAGGGCTTCAATAAGTTTCAAAACAACAGTCTCATTATTGATAAAGACGTTGGTCAGACAACAACAGCATAAAGCTCTTTTGTACACATAGATTTTCGTCTACTCAATGAGAGTACATAAAAAAAAAGGAAGAAATGTTTGAAAGGGAGATGTGTTAGCATTGAAGCATCCTCTTACAAGTCCAAACGAAAATTACTAACTGCACTCTTTTTACTATAATGGTAGATTATTTGATGGGGCGCTAGTAGAAAGTGTTTAGTTCAAATTCAATGATTAGATCATGTTTTTCTCCATACTGTGATCATGTCATTTCGTTGTTAGGTACAAATCAGTCATAATATTTGACTTTTAGCAGAACCATTGCAGTATACGTCCACCCAAAGTAGCAGCCGAAAGGCTTGAAAATCTGTGCTACTTCAGATGTGATCGAGATTTTTGAGATTTACTATATACATAACGAATGATTCCTACTGGAGTATCTGAAATAAACAGTTATTATAATAGTGAAAATTCACTATAGTGTAGATGTAGAGAAGTCAGTTGTCTACTCCTACTAAACCTTGTATATTCCTTATTTTAAATAAAATTATGGCATTCTAAATTCATGATTCTATATATAATGTAAATCTTTGAATGATATTCATCAAACATTGTCAATTACTGTGATCTTTCATATTTATTTTGTTTCAGACTTAGTATGGCAGTCTTACGCAGTATTCTTGGCAGTATAGCAGTACCAAATGATGATAAACTAGCCTGGTATAAATTTAAAAGAGTTCAAAAGACTACACCATATGATGTTGTAATCGGTATAAATAGTCTTATGGCACTAGGAACAATCGGTTGGGACATTAAACTTAGTGAAAAAGCAATAACTGTTCAACGAGAAACTTCAACACCTGAAAATAATCGGGGCTTAATTGTTGCCGTTCTTGGTTTATACAATCGTGGTAGATCATTTTTACTTAATCAATTTAGTAAAATTCAATTGCCTAATAGTCAATTAATACATACGGAAGGACTATCTATAACAGCAGGAGGAAAAGATTATCCAAATATTATTTTCGTAAATACTACTAGCACTGATACAGCCATACCAAAGGATAAACTTGATGATAAAAAGGCTACGGATGCTCTTTTAAGAGAAATTGCTCTCCATTTATGTTCACATATCATTATTGTTGTCAATCGTTTACATGCAACTGATCAAATATATATTCAACAAATATTAAAGCAACCTAAAACGTCAAATTCTAACAAATCTGTTATTATTGTTCATAATTTAATGGATGTTGAAAGTGTTAAAGAAGTAGAATATATAATAAACACAGAAGTTCAAGGCATTATGGAGGCTGAACGTGAGATAATGGAATATCGAATGAATAATGAAACTCACAAAGTCGAATTTTTCCACTCAAAACATAATAATATCAAACTTCGTCATTTTATTTTGGCTAAAACTGGTTCTAAAGCAGCGAAACAATGGAATACACAATCTATTAGCGGTATATTGAATATTTTACACATAGCTACAGAATATAGACAAAATCTTGATATTATTAATGAAATGATAAATTTTGTTAACAGTAAACTATCTCAGTTATTAATCGTTAATGATCAGAATGAAGATAGTTCATCTGAAATTAAACAACAGAAGTTGAAGGTGCGAATGCATGCTAATAAACCGAATATTGTGCTTTCACAACGAAAAGATTTAGAAGATCTTACCATAAATCCTGTTCAATTAATTCTGTCGTCAAAACTTGTTTATGATGATGGAGGCTATTTTATACGCATCGATTCAATAAATAATGGACAATGGCAACCTCTTTATAATCTTTACGAAACCGATGAAAATATTCATGTTATCATTGAACTTGCTGGATTTAAAGAGGGTGAAGTTATTATTGAAGTAGCTGACGATGAAATCCATATTGAAGGTCGTCGAGATGATTTTAAAAAATTATTAAATAATCCTATCGTTTATCAAACAAAAATCCCTATGGGTTTATTTAATTTGAGTATTGCTTTGAATTCTATGATTGTACCTAAAAAAGTAACATTGGAACGTGATGATGGTTTATATAAGATAACATGCCCAAAAAAAGAAAGTTAATGATGCGTATTTTTAATGAGAAACTCTTAACTTTACACTTCGGGCAATAAAGGAATAAAAAGAAAATACATTGTATTATGCTAATTTACTTAGTTTATTCTTTATAGTCATTCTTTTTAATTTAATAGTAGATTAAGAAGATTATATTTCTAATTTGACATTCATCTTCGGGATATTGAACGAGCGTTGTGAGATATACTTTATACTTGACGTGTCTCGATTAGGTTATTCTTCATGAAATAAAATACTGTTGAATATATTTCAATGTTCATATTTAATACTTTTCAATCAGAAATTGTAAAAATAATTTCGAAAAATTACAAAATAGATGAAATTACACGCTTGCAATAAAGAAGAGTGCTTTACTAATGAAATGAAACACAGTATAGTACAGTACGATAATTATTCATAAAAATGAATAAACAATTGATTCACATTTTGAATAACATATAATAGTAATGAAATAATTTATATGAATTTAATCCAACCGTTTTTCTAATACTTCAAGTTAATGGAAATTTCCTCAACTAATGTCTGTTGATTGGTTGAATATAGAGAAACAATGAAAACAATCCATATCAGCGAAGTTATCTCGTATATGAAGAGCATATAATAAGAGTTATGGCATCTCTTTTGGATTTTTGTGTTTCTCCAAAGACTAATTTTTGTCAAACGATAATCAAAACAAAATCGTTCGAATAATTTTTTCCATCACTATATGTGGGGGAAAAAACGGAACTACTCGATCAACTCACTACATTTATCGTTGAGTAATTTTAATAAAGTTTGTTGTCTTTTTTACTAAATATCTATACTTGTAGATATCCAGAACTGGTCTTGAACTGTTCAATGAACTGTTTGACTATTTTCTACGAATGGTAAACGATGAGCAGTGTTCAACTTGGATCGAAGTACGAAGAAAATTTGGATTTCGGAGTAGATTTGCAATTTAAATATTTTACAGATACAAAAAACATTGACAGAAAGAAAACAGGATTGAAAAATTTATTTTCTCAAGAGAAAGAGAAAATGATCGATACCAGAGTACGACTATGCTCGGATTACAAAAATTTGATCCTTTTTCTTTTTTGAATTTACAAAATTTGTTCAAACAGAGTTATAATCTAGAAGGATAAACTCTTAGACTAATTCTTAGTTTTATTATATTTGACATATAATATAAATATTGACACTTACAGTGGAATTCCGACAAAATAAATCTAGAACGGCACTTCATAATTAAATAAAATTGTTATTTCATTTTTTTAATATTTTTGCATAACTCTGTTGTTTTCGAGAACATGTTATAGCAATAGGTCAAGTATCGGGAGTAAATGGAGTTTGTGTTTTAAAATAATTTATAATTTCTAAATACAGAGGTAATTGACATTTTCTCAAAATAAAAATTTTCTTAAATACTGAACATAAATATGGGGATTTTAATTTTTATGTTCAAAATTTCTATTAAATAGTATCTTAAATTTATTTATATTTTTAATTTTTATGCATTGTTGTTCCATTTAAAATTCAACAAAAGACTTCTATCGTTATATACATACTTGTAATATTAGGAAATAAATGTATTTCTTATCAATATTTTCTTTTTATTATCGTTTTGAATGCATATTAAATAAATGTTAAATCTATATTAAATATTTCCACAAAAGGCTTTTACTAAAAAGCAGAAGTATTACGTAAAATAAATGTATCAACAGATAAATGTGACAATATATTTGGAAATGATAAATAATATGTTACCGAAATGTAGATATGCTTAACAAAAACAACAGAAGTAGCAATAAATAATCATTGTTAACAAAATCAGTCTCGATGTTTATATTAATTAAGCAAATTTCAAAATCTTAAACAAAAGCATTTGAAAAAAAAATGATGAGAGCTTGTTGCAATGGTTTAGAGAAATCAATCATTAATACAATTAAATAGAATCTGATAGTTTAAGAAAACTTGGAATCATTTATTTTTATAAAATGATTAACTCAATTCATTCTTTATTACTATAATATTAAATTTTAATTTTAACGCAACAACTAATCATTTTTACCTCAGAAATTACAGAAAAAAAAATTTTTTTTATTATCTACTAAATTTATTGTCTATTCATTTCATAAATAACTCAAACTAACTTAATAAAGACTAACGAATTTAGTAAATTTCATAGTTTTTCATTATCAAAAATAAATAGAGAAATAATATCTGCGCGAGGATTAAAGAAGGAAGAATATAAGCTCAATAACTTGGCACCAGCAACAGATAATGATTTATTCTTCTTAGAAATCGAAAAAGAAGAACTTTCGATGTCCTTCTGTCTAATACTATATAAGAGAAAATTATTTAAAAGTCTATCATCTTCACAAAACGTTCAAAAAATACATTAAAATAATATTCCATATTGATGTCATTTTGAATTAGATATGTGCTTCAGATAGAGAATCTTCAGATCTATAGTTTAAGGCAGGATCCAGATAATTATCTTCTCATATTTTAATACTGAGTAAACAAAATCACGTTTGTCTTCGGTCAAATTATACAGAATTTTATTGATTTTCAGTCAAATTTTCTGATTTTTTTTATCAAAGTTCCTTGAAACAGAACACCATTTTCATGCATCTGTCCTGAATGTTTTGAAAAGATAATAAATTTTAGAATAATTTTGTTTTATATTGTATTAAATAAAAAGACGTTCATAGTTCTTCTCTTTCGATTTTTGAAAATCTCAGGTCGCTAATTATTACCGTTGCCGGCTTATTAAGCTTGCATTCAGTTTTTTGAGATTATGGTGCGAACATTAATTACCTAGAATTATACTAACCTTTTAATTGAACAGAATCTGATAATCTCCTTAAATGCTGGTTTTTTTTTCAATAATTTTATGATAATTGGCAAAATAACTACATGAATTAAAATGCGTTAGTATCTATCTTTGATTATTGAATATAATAATTTTTGATTAAATATTTACATTGATAAAAAGCAAATGATATTATTTTTCGAAGAAAAAGAAAAAAGAAAAAAAAAAGAGAAAAGTGAAAACACAAAAATACCGTATATGTGCGTTTATATGTGATAGAGAAAAAAAAATGAAATGAATATTAATTTGAAAGACTCATTCGTTAAAAAAACGAATAAAAACATAAAACAAATATTCGAATCATTTGAAAAACTATTATGAATGATCATTTATTCGTATTGTTTTAAAATATTGATTTCCTTCAATTATACGTTGATATAAACGTGATGCTACTGGAAAATATTCTTCATTCCATAATTGTTTATTTAATTCATCTATTGATTCATCACCACTTGACTCAAGATTACTTTCATCTTTAATTAAAAAACAAAAAATCATATTAAATTGTTTTACTTTTGTTGTGTAATTTTAAAACAAAAAAAAAAAAAAAAAAAAAAGAAGAAAATTCTTACGGAGAGATTCATCAAAAAAATTAAGTAATATTTTAAGTTGATTCTCTGTAAACCAAAGTGATTGATTATCAAATTTTTCATAATTATTATCGCAATAATTCCATAATGCTTTACAAACAAGACTAAAACAACAAAATATTTCATTTAATATAAAAATAAATTACAAATCTATAATATTTCTATATAGATCACTTTTAAGACCATTTAACATATATTAGGAAATAATTCTATGTATATCACGAAAATTAAATATCGTTTTGGATAGAATTATAAATACTACGTAGTATTTACTGTCTTGATTTACTAATATGATCTTTAGAATTTTATAGAACCGAAATAAAGAAATCTAAAATGGTTACTAATGAGGATAGAATATTCTTCAAAAAATATAATTGAGTTTGATGAAAAAGATGTCTCATTCGATTGTCAAGTTTCTTTCAACGATTCATTTTACATCATCGAAGTAAATCCAAAACGATTCATATCATTCACCATGAAATTATCTAGATCTGATAGCTAAGTGCAACTCGAACGTACATAATCTATTTATGTATGACAACGCACGTTGGAGGAAAATTTCAGAAAATAATTATTTATTAGAAAATTTTTCATTTAGAAATTCAAATTGAGAAATATTTCTCTTGTAGAAATAAGAATATTAGCTTCATGAACAATTTCTCTCATTTATTTATAGATAGAAATAAAATCTGTTACTTTTCTGAAGTGAAAACTGCTTCTAATAATTGATGATTAATAAAGTTTGTATGTTAAGCAAATCGATTTTTCTTTCACTTTTTTTGAATGTGCAAATGAGAAAGAGAATCAGCTTTTTCCATTATTTTCATAGCAGGAGACTTTTTTTCAATAATTAAGCATCGGTTGGGGGTTATTTTTCGTTTTAACAACATACTCTATACATTCTAGTACACAGGTACAAAATCAGTGTTGTATACAAATCTATTTAATCATAGACTGACACGAATTTTGACTTCATTGTGTTCCATCCTTCAGCAATATTGCTGAACTAAAAATCGATATTTCAATTGATTATAAATATTTTTAAATGAATAAGTAAGACTAAGAGTGAATGAAATTTTCCTCGCATAGATAGAACCATGTACAAATAAGTTGTCGTGCGGACAAAATCTTACAATAAATTTTCTGTGTGTGGACATTAACAAAGGAAACACTTAGGCCAGCAGCTACATATCTACGCCTTTACAAAGTCATTTTCCAATTTGCAAATTTATATAAGATTAAGAGACAATACAACATTTTGTTCATGCGACAAAAATCGTAGCATCAAAATTAAATTATTGTCTGTTATTCATTCAGAGAAAGAGAATGTATTTTTCATTCATCAATACAATAATAGATTAAAATGGGTAAAGTAAATTAGAGAAAACGACCGATAGAGACGAGTTTTTTTGAAAAATTTCCAATTACTGTTGATCTTTCAGTAAACTTACAGTTCTAATTATAGACTAAAGTATGTGTATGGTTAATTATAGTTTCTTCATAGAAGAAATTTGAAAACTTTCAATGATATTTAGTGTTTA